GGGATCAAGCGTTTTCGATTACGTTCATCAGCAAGACCACGCGGAAGTCGCGGAACAATTAGGCCTGGGACTGACATCGAGCACCTCTTCCGGTCCACACTCGTCGAGCTCCGGTTTAGCGTCGCCGAGTAGCGCGGCGTCCGAAGAACACGGTTCATCTTCCACCGCGAATCCCGACGGTAAGTTTCCGCCATGGCGTGTATTTTTTTTGAACGACGCGTCTCTCGTCGACTGAACGAGCCGTGATGACATCATTCGCGTCGAGATTACGAAGTTGATAAACTTTCAGTAGCCGCTAAAGGATCGTGAATAGATGCGTCGTTGATAAATCTCGACGAAGCAGCGACTAACTTTTTCTCTTTGCTTGAACGTAGTTTTATCGTTCTATCTAAGAAATATTCGTTCGTTTGATCCGATTTTTGTTTCGCTTTTTATCCATGTCGAAAAATGTCTCATTTTTTATTCATTGCTTGTGGGACTTTGTCGTAATTTATGAACCAAGATCTTGTTTCCTTCTGAATTTTTGAAGTTTCCAATTGAATATTGATGGTTTGAAGTATAATTCGAAGAAGAAAATCGGTATTCTTCTGTACACGCGTGCACGCACATGTAAGTAACGAATATTTATGCGTTGTTTTTAATCTAATTATAGTGTCGTCGGTGATGTCGTTATCGGCAAATAATCTATACAAGGGATACGATCGTGCGTTCTGCGTGAGGATGAAATCCACTTTGACGAAAAGGGGGTGCCATTTTAAGTCGTCTGGTTATAGGGTGAGTACACTGTTTCCTCAAAAATCCTATATTTTCAAAGATCACTCTCTCATCTTCTTTCGTTCCGATGCTTAAACATTTTCATTCTGTGTTCCAAGGATTCTTCGAACCGTAACTTTCCACTAAACATGACGAAATAAAATATTCTAATTGATAGCAATCATGATTTACTTATCTATCGTCGATCTATCGTAATTTACCATCGATCGGATTCTGTGAATTGCTGATTTAATCGATTTAACGAATCGCGAATCAATTGCGTCGAGTTAACGAAACCATGGATGTTAATAAGCAATTACGAATTCAGGTCGTGTTATTACTGTGCCGTTTGAGACCGCAGTATACGTTTGGCCATTCAAGAAAGTCTGCACCACCATTGATAGGCATGGTTGGCCTGGCGATCGCACTTCCTCCGCCAAGTGTGCACGAAATTCGCCTGGAAGCCGACATGTTCGTCACGCGGATCAGTTTCGACTTTCGGATAGCGCATTGTGAACCAAGGTGAGCGTTATAGGAAATTTTCTAGAAAATTCCATTCCTCTGTCTTTCTCTATTTTCCACGTATCTCGTTGTAATTAATTCTCGATAAGTTTATCTCATTTTATTATAATAATTAGCTAATTAGCTATAATCAGATAATTAGCTTCTGTGATTACGAACAACGTAATGTCCCGTTTTTATGTTGATCTATAGGGTGTCCGAATTATTAGATTATACAGCCGACGAATTAACGGGGAAGAATCTTTATACGTTGTGCCATGGGGAAGATGCGAATCGTCTTCGAAAATCTCACATCGACTGTAAGTATTTCCATAGATCTTCGTTTACCTCGTTTATCCACTTAATCCGTGCTTTGTCGAATCATTATGCAATACAAATTGAATCAGCTACTTCACTTGACTCTTTGCTCGTTATTTTAACCGGTTAGTTACATCAGAATGATCTCATTTGTTTCAGTGATTCACAAGGGGCAAGTGCTAACACATTATTATAGATTAATGAATAAAAGCGGAGGATACACATGGTTACAGACGTGCGCCACGGTAGTGTGCAATTCAAAAAACGCGGAAGAGCAAAATATCATCTGTGTCAATTATGTTATAAGGTAAATTTCATGATGTAAGATATTCGTCTGAGATCAAGCATAACATTACGTTGAAATTCTCGGATCGAACGAATTGTTTCAGTGGTCGAGAGTTCGAAAATTTAATCATGGACTGTTGTCAACTGGAAGAAGGCGTGATGGGCGTTAAACGCGAGGACGCAGCTGGAAACGATCCAGAAAATGGATCACCGGATGCCGATAGAGGAGGTATAAATCGATAGAGGAGGTATAAATTGCGACTTCTTTCTTTCCGCTATTCTTCCCAAAAAAAATGACCGAATATAGCTACTTGATCTTCGTCGATAGTCCGAAACTTTCTAATCGCTAAGATAGCATCGTAACGCGTTTCAGAAGGAAGAAATCACGGTGGACCACCGAACCAACATCAAGAACATCCTCACAGGTCGCCGCCTGAAGATCGCGAAGATACTCGCGGGTCGGAGAGCGAGAAACGAGGCAGCCGGCATCACGACAACATAGCTCAGTTACAGCAAGAGCCGCAGACAGCGGTAGGAAACATTAACACGCTCGTAGTGAAATTACGTGGACACAAGCGAAAGCTGCACGAGGACGATAGCAGCTCGATCGAGGAGGAGGACGAGGAGGACGACTCAACGGTGAAAGTCACGAATAACGAGAGAAGCCACGCTCTAAGTCCAGCTCCATCAAACCATTCCATTTCAGGAGGTGAGCAAGTACTGTGCTCGGCCAGTCCTAAATCGAGACGCGTGGAAGATAGAACGAGCAACGCCGACAGTACCGGCACCTCCGTGAAAGATCTAGAGCAGGCGATGTCCAAGCATCTGCCAGTTCAGAATCTCAATAAATCTCATTCACCGACGCTGCATCAGCCTACGGATTTCAGCACGGACGCGTTGCTCAAGCAGCAACAGCAAAGGAGTACGATACAATGGATCGGAGCTCATCATCATCTGGGACACCTAAGTCCGCAACAGTCGACTACCGCGCCATTGCCAGCGTCCGCTCTTCTACGACAATTATACGCCAACAGAGAGAGCGTGATACGAGCTAACGTTCACGGAATCACGTCCAGTAGTACTACAAGAACCTCTTCTTCCGGTGGAACCTATTACGCCGGGGACACGACACCCAGTGGTCCTCTACCCACTCCACCTGGCTCCGAAGGATCCAGCACCTACGGCGAACATCAATTTGTGTTGGCAACACACAATCAGAAAAATTCCACCGGAACAAGTTGCGCCGATGCGTTTACCAGCCTGGTTTCCTCGTATTCTACCGCCAGCGGTTACACGGTCGATTATCACTCGGCGATGACTCCACCGTCATCCGTTTCACCGAGAGACAAGCAACAACAACAACAACAGCAACAGCTGCATCCGGTAAACGTGATAAGCAGCTACGAAGGCTCGTCGGCTTATAGCGATCCCGTGTTACGACACCAATACGAGCCAGCGCAACCATTGCCTTTAAAACCACAAGTGTATTCGGCTGCTGTTCATCCGAGCGCGTTGGACGCTGCTGCAGCGTATGCCTCGGCCGGTTTAAGCGAGCAAGCGCAATTTTATCATCACCCGGCTGCCGGAGCTGGTTTCCACATTTACCATCCGACGAACAAGTCGACGACGAACGGTTGGTACAGTTCGACATCCTAGTGGCGTGCGCCGGCACGCGAGAGACGTGTACTTAAGTAACTGAAAATTCTGAGCCCAAAGTCCCCACATGCATATCAGTGATATCATATTCACCTCGACATCTCTGTACACCGATTTCCCTCTCGTTTCCCCTCTCTCCTTCCATACATTTGTTCATCTTTCCCTTTCGGTTATCTCCTATTTTCGCTTTATCTATTCTTCACTTTCGCCACAAGCTCATCGTTTCTGTCTTCCCCTAAGCTAGTTTTCATTTTTTATCCCCGCGTCTTTTCCCATCACCCAAGCGATCATACGCGCGCATACAATGTGCCAATTGAACTGTAAAAAATCGCTGCTCTCTATTCTTGACTATGTAGAACGACTTATTGTAATATAATAGAAATAAATTATTATGTATGTTGACATTTTCGGAGATATTCGCGAAAGCAAAACGGAGGATAGGAGTTTCTTAAAAAAAAAAAAAAAAAGAAAAAGAAAGAGAAACACAAAAAAGGGAAGGAATAAATTTGAAACACAGAGGAGAAGAATATGTTTTGATGCGACGCTCAAGGGGCAAAACGGTGAATCTCGAAACGCGGTGACCAATTAATTTAATATAGTCCCACGTGAACACGAGAATAACGCATGAAAGAAGGAACAACGGAGGAACGAAGACAGAGATTTACCAGCGTTATTGCTGTAAAAAAAAAAAGAGAGAAAAAGAAGAAACGCTGGCGTGGTTGTTAGCGATAAATTTACTCGAGAAGCCGTACTTGTCGTAAATTTTTTATACTTGTAACATTTTGTTGCGTAAATACGATGACTTTAGTAAAGTCAACAGTGCAATCGTTACACGTTTTTTAGCGTTAATTTAAGAGGATCGGATAGAGAAGAATAATGTTTACCTTTTTGCTTATAAATGAAAAGAAGCGTTGTTTCTGTGCGAGAGAAAGGAGAGAGTGTGAGTGTGATAGAAAGAAAGAAAGAGAGTATGTAACACTACGAAGGAAATCGCTATCTCTATTAATATAGAAAATTATTTTAACGTTCTATCAATTTTATCAATCTATCAGTTACATTTATTAATCGTTGTCAACAAAAGTCACGTATTAAATTTGATCGTTCGAATCTTGACAACGTAAACGTTAATACATATCGATTTGTCCGATAACGATAAATCACTGCCTTACCAATTGCATATGGATATATAAATGTAAAAGGCGCTTACCTTTAAAAAAAAAAGCTATGCGAATGTGCAACGAATCTTTTTTGTTGAAGTAAAAGTTACTAAGCATGGACATACATGTTGCTAGAGGTAGCGAATTCTTTCAAAGAGATTATTATGTTTTGTTGTAAATTGATGAATTGTTTTTTGACGAGTACACATGTAAATACAATTTTATGTGCTGTAAGATCCACCTGTTGAATATTTCTATTCATAATTTTTCGGAATATTTCTACGGAATTTATTTTCGTTGAAAGAAAATTGTAAGGCAGTGACTTAAGCATTAAAATATATGCATAACGTCTCCATCTTGGTAAAACAAAAACTTGTGATTCAGTACAGCTTTCACCCTTGGGATTAAAAAATTATAATATAATTTTAAAATGATGAAAGATTGAATTTTCTTTTCGTCATAATTCTACAATATTCTTCAAAAAATAATATCTCCTCTCACGATTAGCAAATTTACAATATTGTGCTTTTTAATGCTTTACAAAATTAAACAAATTTATCACTCCACATCTTTCATCGGAATACAATACACAACAAATTATAAACATTTCTTGTTTATATTTTTATTCACAATTTAAGTTTGAAATACATATAAGTTATATTATTTTATTATTATTGTATTATTTGTAAATTTCATTTTATCCTTTATAATTAATATTTACCTGACTAATTCAGATTAATCTACGTATGTTTGAAATCTTATCAACAAATTCTAATACTTAAATAAGGCATAATATCTATTAACATCCATCTACCAGAGAGATAAGAAATACTTAAAATTGGATGTAAATCAGCTTCCACCAAATACCGATGTTGCACATGTAAATGCCAAAAAATTAAATATGTGCGAAAGCATTTTGTATAGAGAAAATACTTACATTAATTGCCAAAGTCTATGAATACACAAATGCAGTACATACAAAAACATCCCTTAAGTTAAATTATTCTTCAAAAATGTATAAGAAACTAAAATCATACATAAGAATTACAGGACTAATAGTAAATTTACTTGTTCTATTTTATTGCTGAAATAATGGTTAGCTTTGAATTAAATTGAATATAAATATCTCTAGGTATTTATATTATTCCTCATTTAGAAATTCATGATATAATTTAAAGATAAAGTTACAGCGGATTGACATAAATTATTATGAAAGCTATCAGTTTTCATTCAAATTCTAATAAATTTTAACTTCCTGTCTTTAATGCCCAAATCAAATGTTACTTATTATGCTGAAAAGAATGATATTTTAAAACATAAAATTTTAAAAATTACTTTTTTTTACCAAAAATGGAGCAACCGATATACTATATTGAATAACAATTATATATTTTTGTCGTTTTATATTATAATAATCATACTTTTCATTATAAGAGAAAGGTCGCAGAACCTAGAGATAAAGAAAATAAAATGATAAATTACGTTACTCGACAATGTTCAGTGGCTACCTTATAAGGTTAATAAAGAGGTTAATAGTAAGGTTAATAATAACCTCTTTCTCATGAAATTACTTTCCTTATACTTCACTATACTAATTGTCGATGCTTTTTAAAACGCTCATTTAAGATATAAACTGAAATTAGCTATAAAATCACCTTTATGAAAAATAATCAATTCGTTATCTCCAAAAATTAAAATTAAAAAATTTTCGGAGCTCCATTTAAATCTAGAACACCACTATTTATCATCGATGTAATAATGATTCACTAATTTAAAACTTTGCCTGTCAATTAATTAATAAAACAGATGCAAACGAAACACTTGAAGTTTTCCAAACTTTAGGTTATGTTTATCAGTTTCACTAATTCTCACATAGCATGATGTACAACTTTAACATTTAATATATTGACCTTGAGTCAGCAGTGTCAGTACGAATGTGCTAAACATTCATTGGAGCTCGTGCTCATCGCTCTCATACTTGTAGCAAGCTATATAAGTGAGAAAGCTAAAAGAGGATTGCAAAACGATAGTGTACTTTTGTTCCGTTTTAGTAAACGTTTACCATCAGAGTGAAACAGTCGTGGACATAAACCATGATTTTTCGATTCGCAGTCTTCTTATCTTTTTTGATCTTCACGATCGAAGCGAAGAAGTATTCACAGTTTTCGGAGGCTGAACATTGGCAAGAATTCGAGGAGTTTTTGAAATGGAAGAAAGCGAAGGAAATGAGTGAGAATGATTCGGGAGAAATTAAATACGAAAAACATCAACATCACGAAGATCATCATAATATGTACAAATCGTCTGAAAGAGATCGACAACTTCCTGTCAATAATCCACCACCTATCGATCAGGCAGCTTTAATGGCAAGATACATTGTCAATCAAGCTGGTAAAAAAATACATTTTTTTTCATAGTAACAACGTTTTTAAAGCTAATAAAACGTTATTACGGTTCTTCTTTATTTTGACATTCAAATTGCGTAAATAGCTACTTCTCAAACAAAAGCGTCACATTTCAGTGCAAAATTACGAATCATTCGGAAATTAATAAAACGAGTAGAATGAATATCTGCATACATAATGTAGATATGCGGTTATCCGTACCGAGTTAGGTAAAAGTTAATATTAGGACTTTCAACGCTTTGTCTTGGCGGCTTTCCAGTTTTTCGATGAACTATTATAAATGAATATTATAGATGAATATTGCCTAAGTTGAATAAATATTACTTTTGGTAATACGAAATCATTCAAAATTCAATATCGAAGAAGTCACGATGATTCAAGTCGTGACTAGTCAAATAATTATTATCACTGAAGATATTTTGTCTAATCTAGCCATTGAAAAGTTGTTTATTCAAACAAATAACATATTTAACATACGAATTATTTACGTACTTACTCTTATTAAATTCAATTACCTTCGAAGTAAAATTATTTGTTTATTTGTTTTATTATGTAAATTTATTGTTTTTTAATAATCTGGGAATACATATGTATATTGTATACATATGTATGACATCATTTTCATTGTATACGCTGTAATCGCGTATATAACTTTAGTTGCTTAAATATCTTATTTATTATTAATATCGTTATTAATGGTAACTATGTTAACAAATAAATATGTAAGCAGTATTTTTCACTATGTTAATTAGCTTTTTTATCATATAATAACAACTAATTATAATGTAAATATAATTACCAATAATTTTATGTACATATACAGATTGGGTATCCGTGGCGACAATCAGCGCAAGAAAGGATATCGAATCGTTTCCAGCTGTAAATTTAGTTTCCTACAGCGATGGGCTTTTAGGGAATGGATCAGGGATTCCATATCTTTACCTTACTACCCTGGATTTTCCAGCTAAAGATCTTGCAGTAAGCATTTTCGTAACACTATTATTAATATGTATCGCAGTCGCAAAAATACGTCGTATGTTTAATATTACCATCGTCTGATAAGATAGTGAGCAATATCAATACGTATTATATTGAATATTCGATTATTTTTATTAAAACCCTAATCACTATCATTTTTTTTTATTTTCTTATCTTTATTACCTATTTTATTGAAAATCAATTTCGATTTAATTACAGAAAGATAATCGGGCCTCGATGTTGATGTCATTAGCCCAAGGGGAATACTGTAGAAACAAGCGGTGGGATCCTATGGATCCACGTTGTGCCAGGGTTCTTCTAACCGGCAAGATCAAACCAGTTAGTAGATCTTTTATTTACAGAATATTTAAATTAATGGAATAATTAACAAGTATTATTATATCTTTTACAGTTAAAAAATGAAAGTGCGGAAATCGAAGTAGCTAAAAAAGCAGTTTTCACGCGTCATCCAGGTCTAATTAATATGCCAGCAGGTAAGAATTTTTTTAATAAATGAAGTCAATTAATCAAAAATATTACTATGAAATATACGTTTAAAAATATTGTGTTAATTGTTACAGATCATCATTTCTATTTCGCAAAATTGAAAATAATTTCAGTGGTAGTATTAGATACATTTGGCGGCCCGAAATACGTCTCTGTACAAGATTATTTACATCCACCAACAACGAATATTATTGAAGAATTCATGAAACATTTTCCCCTGAAATCATACGAAAGTAAATCTGAAGAGGAATATAGTCCAATTTCTAATATATTACATCCTGTGGTACAGCGTGTGTGAATTGTCTGAAAGATATAAGTTATAATAACGCCATAATGTTATATACTTTTCAACAAGCTGTAGCACAAAGTTTTGATACTAGTACTTATTTAAATATATGGAAATCCACGTATTAAGTATAATAAATAAATTTATAAATTAAAATCGTAAGCAAGTAAGTTATTTTGTTCTGGTGTTTATCCAATGCAATTAATTGCTTATTGATTATTGTGTTTTTTTCTGTAAGAGAAAAAGGTATAGGAAAGTAGTTTTGTAAGATCAAAATAAATAGACAATATATAATGTATATCATTATCACTTATATATATTAGCAATTAATCATGTTTTCAAGTACAATTGGAAAAATTAAATCCCTAGTATCATCGCAATATGACACACTATAGTACTGTTTGCTACAAAAATATACACCTTTTCTTGTTTTAAACTCATAACAATTTCTGTAAAAATTTATTTAAGACCATAAATCCCACTTAAGGGGATGTACAAATTTCGTGGTGTGTTAATTTAATTTAAGATTTTAAATATGTACATGTTCGTAATATAAAAATTACGTGTTCTTAAAGTACATTACAAAGAATTAAAATATCGTGTAATATTCTTTAATACAGGGCGTTATAAATTGCAATAGCTTTTGTAATTTTACTTGAATATCTGAGCTATTGTATATGGAATTATGAATTATTTATACAGATTTTACATAATTTACTTAAAAATATAAAATATTCGTTATATATTAATATTTATTTTTTCAAAAGAAATATTAAAATAAATTCGTAATTTGATTACGGATCGCAGATAGCGTTAATATACAGTATCTAATTATAAAAGCTTGCTAATTCATTTTTGCTACGTCTTTTTTGCAGTGCTTTGTGTATTTTTTCCATGAGTAAGACTGGATGAGCTTAGCATAACAGAGATTTGTTCTGGTAATGGACATGCAATTAATAAAAGTTCTTCTGAATTATAATATTTACTCAGTATTTGATATAGTTGTGTAAATGCAGCACAGACATTATTTTTTACCGGTCTAAACAAAATAAACTCTGTTTCCTTATTAGAGAGATATAGTTGCATCAGTTGTTGAATTTCAGGACATTTAAACTTAATTATCCGTAATACCTCGCTAATTGCTGCCGCAACATCTTGAGGACTTCCAAGAGCATGTTCTGGAGATGCATCTGGAGTATTGGTATATAACTTCTCCCTTTCTAACAGTTTCAAAATTGGATGTATCAATAAAAATGTTGCATGCTGTATGAGACGTTGACAAGTGTATTTCAATTTATTATCCACATGCTTCCTTGAGTCTATTAGTTGCTCCTTCATTTGAGGTGCTCCCTCCAATAAAAATTCCAGTAATGCATTATTTGACAAAGTAAAAAATCTTGAACTCTTTTCTAATAAACCAAATGCTGCTGTCTTAACTTTAGAAAAATCCAGGCTATATTCTTTTATGGTGAAGTCTACTTGAAATGGTGCAATTTGTTCTCTTAAAATAAGCAAATGTTTTATTTGAAAAAGTTCTGCATCTAAGGATGATGCTCTTTTCTCTATTTCATGCCTTGCATTTTCTATACTCTGTACACAAAGAGATATTGCTTCCTGACTCAAAGATTGGAATACAGATCTGTCCACGCATCTATATAATCTTGATAAACATACTAATGTCCTACGAACAGTAGGATACCACATTCCATGAAGATCTGCTGGTGAATTCCCCATATGTGTCTTTTGGTAGATAGAATCTATTTCTATATGATTCCTAGATATTGGTTCTAGATTATTATCATCGTTAGATGAAATAGATATTTTTTTCATTTTTGTCTGTCTGGATTCTTCTCTTATTGATTCTGCTATATCTTCCATCATCTTTAACTTTTCTGGATATGCCAAATCACCTGGTGATGGGTTATAATTCAAAACATCAGACTGCAAGTAGAGATGTGCACGGAAAACCAGTCTCTCCTGTACATCATGCAATAATTGCAGACAAATGTTACCAAAACCTTCTAATGGTTCAAAATTGTTTTGAACATGTTCATCTAACATTTCAATCCTCAAAATGCAACAAATTTCAGCTAATGTCTCCAAATGATTAATATGAATTATGAATGGTCTAAGTGTATCATACAAAGATGTACATAAGCTTTCAAGATATGCTGTTAATCCACTGGATGGTTTAGAAAAAAATTCATAAAATAATTTATACTCATCCATCGATGCATGTAACAGTAATGCGCATGAATTTCGTACCAGGCTACAATGATCACCATTGTATTTCTCCTTTACAGACATTAGAGACTTTTGTACACTACTGCCTAATACTAATCCTCTTTGACTCCAATAACATTGATGGCACTCCGACAATAAGCTGTCATATTCTTGTCTCTTATAAGATTTTGCTTCAATTTGTTCTATAACTGGTCTAGCTTTTGACAAAATAGTTTGAAATCTTCCATAGAAAAGAGCTAAAGCTGCGTCTGCATTATCTTGGGAATCATCATTATCTTTTAAATTCAATATACTTTCCGTGGTCTTGCTAAATAGATTAAAAATATAATTTTGCATCATCGATATTGCCTTAGATTGACAGTGTTTATATTTGATTAAATAAGTATTGCTTTCCTTAAACGAAAGATTATTCTGCACAAAGTCTATGTTAGTATCAATTTTATCTAGAATATTAAAAAACATTTCACTATTCACTGATAACGTAGGTGCTTCTAGTTTTTCCATCATCATATCAATATCTTTAAAATATTTCACATATTCTGTGATGTTTTCTATGGTAGAATTTAATTTTCTTTGATCTGAATCAAGCTGTTCGCTAGCATCATAAAGTGATATCGTTTTATCAGAAACCTCTGAAAATTGTTTATATAACAGAGTAAAATCTTCTAATGCTTCTTCTATTTGAAGACAAAGTTCATGACACTCTTGTCGTCGAGATTGTAGTTCATTAAGGTACAACACATATTTCATATCTTTCCTGTCCATACACTCTTTTTCTAACTTGGCATAATGTTCTAATAGATCTTGGCATCGTTCTATTTGTACTGATTTCTTAGTTTCTTCGCTTGCGCATACGGTATCACCTGTCTCCTCAGTTTTCAAATTGCTGTCAGGGAACAATTCTTCTTCTAAATTCAATAAACATTCTTTTTGGTAATCGGTTAACGGTGCCAGAGAATCCTCTGACAGATCCCACTTGGTTAAGTTATTTGGAATGTTTTTCATCTTCGACATGGTTTCTTGTCAGTGAAAATAAATGTTACGAGGTAGACGTTTTTAAGAAAAGCGGTATGGTCGCATATATGACGCTCATACCGTTCTGTAATATAAATTAAAAAATTCCCTTCAAAAATCTGACACCGCAGCAATCACGAATCACAATCGTGAAGTTGATAAAGATTTATCGACTATGGCGCAAGATGTCCACTATATGAAATATTAAAATCTATATTACAGGATCAAAAGTTTTAAAACAAACATATATATATACATATGTGTTATTAAATTATTATTATAGACTAAAACATACAAAACATAAATATTCTTATTATATTATTTTAAAAAAGATAGTATTTCAAAAAGAACAAAATATTTCATAGGGAATTTATATCAATTACATAATAAATGTATATTACAAAATTTAAAATTTTATTATGTATTTGCAGTTGAATTGAACACACATATAATTAACACATTTAAAAATTTATCTAGATATATGAAATTTTTGAAGTATAAAAAATTCTGTCGCATACTTGAAAATCAGGCAAGATGATTTCATAGCGCATGCGCACAAAAAATCATGAAATATCTTTCATTGAAAACAAGATTGTATTCCTTTTTACCATTGTATTTCTGACGTGAAGGTTTGTGTTAAATTGAATCTCAAAATATCTATATAATCTTGTGAAATCAATTACGTTTGTATAATAATAAATACTTTCATAAGTAATTGCAGTGTAATAAGTATAATATTATTAAGTAATGTTGTATTGTTACGTTTGATGATCTAACCTATAAAAGTCACGGCGTTTTAATATTGTAGGATGGCTCTGAAATACGAATTGGCAGTTGGTCTTAACAGGGGCCATAAAACGACTAAGATTCGTGTGGCAAAGAATAAAAATGAACGGAAAAAGACAGTATGCATTTTGCCCGCAAGACTAAAAGGGGTTAGTACGCAACAGTGATAAACATTCCTGTTTTATGATGATACTTCTATACTATATTATTTCTGTTTACATTTCATAATTAAACCATTTATAAAACAAAGAACAATACAAAGTAAAAATAATTCACTAATTATAAAGATTAGTATTATGTGCTCATAAATCTTTTAATTCTAGAGACAAACTAAACACAGTAAGTTTGTTAGAGATTTAATCCGTGAGGTAACTGGACATGCACCATATGAGAAACGTGCTATGGAATTGTTGAAAGTTTCCAAGGATAAGCGTGCCTTAAAATTCTTGAAGAGGAGGGTAAGGATGTCAATAAATTTTGTCACTTGAAGTGTTATATATTCCAAATGAATATTATATTCTATTCTTATATTTTATAGTTGGGCACACACATCAGAGCTAAGAGGAAGCGTGAAGAACTTGGAAACATACTTGTTCAGATGAGGAAAGCAGCTGCACATCATTAAATAATGCATTAAATTTGTATAATAAATCCATAAAAATATATGTATATGAAAAATTATTACTTTGTATTTCATATTTCCTTTATATTCTTAAATTTACTAGACTAATTTAATGTTGTAAGTTAAATAAAAGCGTAACAATTTAAGTTGGGAGCCACTGATATTCAGACATGTTTAGGGTGTCTTATTATCAATATGATTCAAATGTAGTTACTATAATAATTCAGAGAAATCAAAGTGACGTGAAAAGTATCTAGTTAATGTTGCTTTTGTAATTAATGTTCAAAAAACTTAACAAACTATAAAATAATTATTTTCCATGATGATTCCATAAGAGTTTTATGTTACATAACCTATTTCTAAGTAGGTTATATATGTACAGTATTTACGTTATTAGTTCAGTGTCATCCCATATTAAAAATGATTGGTACAGTTATGTTAAGTTCATTAAAACAAATTAAAGCTTCTGAAACAAATTGTGTACTAACAATGAAGTGGTTTATTAAAAAATTCGCACGATATAACAATGTAGCTATTCATAATTTTCAACAATGTCAAACAGTGTATACGACTTTTACTCGATTGGAAATTGAAAGAAATAAAGAAATTGAAAAAAAATCTTCTGATTTGAAACACTTTAGAGACTTGTCAAAAACTGGACCATCGCTCAAAGATTTCTTGACACCAAAAATTGAAGTTTCTAGTGAAACTATTAGCGTACCAAATATTCCTTATATACAAAATATTGATGGCTCCGATCAAAAGGGTAAATAAAGACAAAATGTTTTAAGTTAGTAATATTAAAAGAAACTGTAAATCTCACGTATGGCGTTAATTTTTGTATTCAACAAATTATATCCCTTTTAGTTTACTTTGATGTTTATGGCTGTCAAATGAATGTAAATGACACAGAGGTAATCTGGTCTATTCTAAAATCTCATGGTTACAGAAAAGTGAATGATATAATAGAAGCTAATATAATTCTACTAGTCACATGTTCTATTAGAGATAATGCAGAACAGAAAGTATGGAACAAGTTAACTGATTTAAATAATGTAAGGAAAAAGAATAAAAGATTTCCTGTGAAAATCGGTTTGTTAGGTATAACTATAATTTCATATGCATGGGTAATAGATTTATAATATATTAATATTACGATACTATATATACTATCTTATTGTAATAGGATGTATGGCAGAACGATTAAAGGATAAAATATTAGAAAAGGGCAAACTTGTTGAGGTCATAGCTGGACCAGACAGTTACAAGGATTTACCAAGGCTATTGTCTGTACCAGACAATGAAACTGCTATTAATGTCGTTTTGTCATTTGATGAAACATATGCAGATGTTACACCAGTGCGATTAGATCCAAGTTCCACCAGTGCATATGTGTAATCTGTTATCCTTGTCATTGTTGTATAATTTATAATTATTATGACTATCTTTATATGTGTTTTCTTCATATTTTGTTAGCACAATAATGCGTGGATGCGATAATATGTGCACATATTGTATCGTACCGTTCACAAGAGGAAGGGAAAGATCAAGACCAATCGACAGCATAGTGAAAGAGGTTCAATCTTTATCTGACGAAGGCGTAAAGGAAGTGATACTTCTTGGACAGAATGTAAATAGTTATAGAGATACATCTCAATCGGAATTCTATGTTAATAATAATATAGAAACACATTTAGCAAAAGGTTTCAAAACAGTATATAAAAACAAAAAAGGAGGACGTCGTTTCGTTGAGTTACTAGATGAAGTGTCTCGTATCAATCCAGAAATGAGGATCAGGTACTAAAAATATTTTCACGTTTGAAAATAGCTATTATTATCGAATATCATTATAAATCATTTTCAGATTCACATCGCCTCATCCAAAAGATTTCCCAGATGAAGTTTTACAATTGATAGCGGAAAGGCCGAATATTTGTAAACAAATTCATTTACCTGCTCAAAGCGGTAATTCCGCGGTTTTGGAAAGAATGAGAAGAGGATACACGCGCGAAGCATATATAGATTTGGTGCATCATATACGTGAAACTATTCCGAACATATGTTTTTCTAGTGACTTTATTACCGGATTTTGTGGAGAAACGGAAGAGGAATTTCAAGATACATTATCATTGATAGAACTAGTGAAATATAATAAAGCCTTTCTTTTCTCTTACAGCATGCGGGAGGTAATACACATTTTATAAAATTCATATAGTATATTATATTTGAAAAATGGAAACCTTTTATTATTAATCGTAGAAAACGACTGCACATCGTCGTTACAAGGATGACGTACCACCGAGTGTTAAACAAAGTAGGCTCGAAAGAATGATTTCAACATATAGAACGGAGATAGAAAATGTAAATAAATTACAGATCGGACAATTACAGCTTGTGCTTGTAGAACAAGTAAGATTTTACAATTTATTGTAATTCAACTATGTTGTAGAATGATGATATATCAGTAAAATATGTAATAATTAATTTTAGCCCAGTAAGCGGTCAGATGAAAATTTTCAAGCAAGGAACGATGGTAACACGCGAGTAGTAATTCCCTCCATGACTATACCTACTGGAAAATATTCAAATGACACGAGATCAATAAAAATTGGCGATTACGTTGTTGTAAAAATTGAGGCTGCTAATTCGCATTCATTAACAGGCACGCCTCTGTATCATTCGTCGATAACAGAATATGCATTTCCGTCTGTGTTATAAATAAATGTAGAATATAATATTCGGAGATTTCATTTGTTATTTAATCACGCTTATTGTTCCATAATACATTCAATTTTTGAACGAGACACGTAGTCTTTAATTACAATCGTACAAAATTAAATCGACGTATTTACTAGTGATATAACAGTATTGTGAATGAAGAAAAAAGCATTTACATAATAAATAGATATAGTTCAATCTATTATTATGGTACACACATGGCGGTTTATAGGTACGTAATCTTTCCTCTTACGAGGATGATATTAATAATTTTTAACAGAACGTTACATACTGATTAAAGAAGATTTATCTATGCTTATTCTACTCCGTTTGTAGAGAATTCTTTAATACTTTATTTTCTCTCATCTTTTCATAATTTTAACAGCACTTGATAAAACTTTTCGCGACAATAAATACGTTCGATTTGCGACAATAAATCTAGACGGAGATTCGGTAAGTTTCAACGCGTTACCGTTCAAAGTAGGTTTATAAATTATTTACATAACGACAATATCCTATTCTTTGAAACAAGAATCATTTTGTACAAAAGAATCTATTAACAAAATAACCAATTTAAATTTACACGTATCTTTAAAAAAAAAAATTATATTAACACCTGAGTAGGTATCATCAACTTATACAAAATATCGATGTCTTTGGAAGTACAGAATTCGTTTCCAAATAATACGTTGACCGAAATGATACATGTTAAACAAGACTGGCTGTTCCGATATTAATAACGCAATTATCGGCACCGCGCTCGTAGACCGTAAGATCATGGTTCCTCGGTTGTTCTAACAATGCAGCCAGTTGTTCACCACTGGAGAATGCGTTTGGTGTGGTCGGAAGAATTACATCGCACTCTAATTGACCTAAAAGAGCAAATAACGGAAGAAGTTCTAAGAAATGCAGTACAAAATAAAATGTAAAAAAGTATAACAAGATATGTAATATGTTAAAATCACACGATGATTAATATATCTTTACCTGATAACGAAGGTGAAGCACCTTTGCTAGAACCGTACATGCGAGTGCTATATCCAGAATCATTATGTGCGTCATGCAAAGGCGGTGTTGGGCTATAAACCGCATTACGGGACCTATATGGCATTCTGGCGATACTGTCGTAATGCACGTGCTCTGATATCACTCCTTTTCCAGAAATTCCGCCGCTTAATGCTTCCGGTTGCTCGTCCTCGTCTCCCTCGCTACTCTCGCTGTCATTGCCTACATTTTAACATGGTAAATTACTGTAAAAACAATTTACCTCTATCGTCGACTAACTTCTTGTCGACAAATTTATTCGTCAAATCTGTCACATACATAGAAATGTTCTAGACAAAGGTAACAAAAATTGAGTTTAACTAGTTTCTTAAGGACCTTACAAAAAATTCGTTGAAGCGTCTGCTATCGATTCAAAGTGCATGTAAAGTAGCTTTACCTTCGCCACGCCAGCTGTTTCCTACACCACCTTGTGGTTGGACTCTTTGATTTTGAGAACACTGACTGTGCTCTGGACTGGTGGGTTCGCTGCTTCCGGAACGCGGGCCCCTCCAACCGTTATGCATGCCAGGTACTTGTTGAAATCGCTTAATCATCTCGTGCACGCTGCGTCGCCCTGAAGATTTCCACTCGTTCGACGTGTCCTCGTTCTTTCGCGTCGCGCTACTTTCGTCCTGGCACGAATTTATGCCATGATCTCGAGACGAAAGATCCTGCTGACAGTTTCTTAGTTTAAAACAAGCGTATAAATACGAAGATATACGCTTACAGAGACTACAAAAAATATTTGCACAATATTTGTACGTAACAACACTTCCGTATCGAATACAAACATTTCATACCACGAAGACGAAACGTAGAATCTGATAAAAACCACTTGGTTGGGAAATAAGCGCGCGTGTGCCAATATTTTTCGCAGCCCTCGATCAAACGTTACATAAAGGCATTGGTTACGTTACATCACCAATCCGCTTTATTACCATTTTATCTTCCATCTTACCACGTTCATAATCTGAACGACTCGATGAAAAAAGAAGGTAGATAAAACAATTAGCTCTGCCTGTAATACATACATCGCGCCGTTAAAACTCTCAGAAGGAATCTAAACACCAGAGGGTTCGATCCTATCTTCTGGTCGTAAACGGGACCCATGTACCATCCGCAACGTGTCATTAGTGTCTTGCAGCTTAATCAACACCTTCGTGAACGCTTAGCGTAGTTAATAAAAAGAACCACCGGTTACACACTCACGCGTTGCTGATGGACCTGTTGCCTGGATCCGATCGACGGCGAAGAGGCGGCGCCTAGCGGCGAGCTACGATCCTGTTTGATTACGCCG